ATATCTCGTATAATATCTTGTTTTTATACATGTCACACGAACTTACAGTGCTAATGAAGCACATATCTCGTATAATATCTTGTTTTTATACATGTCACACGAACTTACAGTGCTAATGAAGCACATATCTCGTATAATATCTGTTTTTATACATGTCACACGAACTTACAGTGCTAATGAATCACAGATATTATATAATGTCCTGTTTTATACACGACGCATGAACTTACAGTGCTAATGAAGCACATATTTCGTATAATATCTTGTTTTTATACATGTCACACGAACTTACAGTGCTAATGAATCACAGATATTATATAATGTCCTGTTTTATACACGACGCATGAACTTACAGTGCTAATGAAGCACATATATCGTATAATATCTTGTTTTTATACATGTCACACGAACTTACAGTGCTAATAAAGCGCAGATCTTGTATAATATCCTTTTTTTATAAACGACGCGTGAACTTACAGTGATATTGAAGCACATATTTTGTAAAATATCCTGTTTTTATACATGTCACATGAACTTACAGTGCTAATAAAGCACAGATATTGTATAGTGTTCTGTTTTTCCAACAAATAAAATTGCTGTGCTAATAGAGAACAGCCCCTATGGCCACGCTGAAGAACAGTTGTTACAATTACTACTAGGCTAACATCTGGTTTTCAGAACAAAAAAGTAACTGATTGATAAGTTTTATCCATGATTGACTTCGTGGTTTACAAGTAGTTGTTTTTTAATATCAGAGATAAACAAAACTGATTTGCTTTCCTGCTGGTGACGTTAAGCAACAAGGATTTTTTATTTTCGTAGTCAAAATCTTCAGCAAGAAACTGAATATTTCAAACCTGTTTGATTCTACATTACAGGCAGTTGAAGCAATGTGTCGTCACCAGCGAGTGTGTAAAATAAAAACGTCCCCAGAATCCTTCGGCGAAGATCCTTGTCCGGGGGTTCGGAAATACGCTGAAGTGGTGTACAAGTGCCTACCAAGTAAGTCAAGCTGAACATGTAACTAGTTCAGCTTTGAAGTGATATTATCATTTACAGAAGTACAGGTCAGGCTAAACGTGTAACTAGCTCAGATTTGAAGTGATATTATCATTTACCGAAGTACAGATCAGGCTAAACGTGTAACTAGCTCAGGCCTGAAGTGATATCATCATTTACAGAAGTACAGGTTAGTCTAAACGTGTAACTAGCTCAGGCCTGAAGTGATATCATCATTTACAGAAGTACAGGTTAGGCTAAACGTGTAACTAGCTCAGACCTGAAGTGATATTATCATTTACAGAAATACAGGTTAGACTAAACGTGTAACTAGCTCAGACCTGAAGTGATATTATCATTTACATAAGTATAGGTCAGGCTAAACGTGTAACTAGCTCAGGCCTGAAGTGATATCATTATTTACAGAAGTACAGATCAGGCTAAACGTGTAACTAGCTCAGACCTGAAGTGATATCATTATTTACAGAAATACAGGTTAGGCTAAACGTGTAACCAGCTCAGTCCTGAAGTGATATCATCATTTACAGAAATACAGGTCAGGCTAAAGGTGTAACTAGTTCAGCTTTGAAGTGATATTATCATTTATCGAAGTACAGGTCAGGCTAAACGTGTAACTAGCTCAGGCCTGAAGTGATATCATTATTTACAGAAGTACAGGTTAGGCTAAACATGTAACTAGTTCAGCTTTGAAGTGATATTATCATTTACAGAAATACAGGTTAGGCTAAAGGTGTAACTAGCTCAGTCCTGAAGTGATATCATCATTTACCGAAGTACAGGTCAGGCTAAACATGTAACTAGTTCAGCTTTGAAGTGATATTATCATTTACAGAAATACAGGTTAGGCTAAAGGTGTAACTAGCTCAGTCCTGAAGTGATATCATCATTTACCGAAGTACAGGTTAAGCTAAACGTGTAACTTGCTCAGATTTGAAGTGATATCATTATTTACAGAAATACAGGTCAGGCTAGACGTGTAACTAGCTCAGACCTGAAGTGATATCATTATTTACAGAAATAAAGGTTAGGCTAAACGTGTAACTAGCTCATGCCTGAAGTGATATCATCATTTACAGAAGTACAGGTTAGGCTAAACGTGTAACTAGCTCAGCCCTAAATTGATATTTCATCATCATTTACAAAAGTATAGGTTAGGCTAAACGTGTAACTAGTTCAGCCCTAAATTGATATTTCATCATCATTTACAGAAGTACGGGTTAGGCTAAACGTGTAACTAGCTCAGCCCTAATTGATATTTCATCATCATCTGCAGAAGTACAAATTGAAATTAGATGTAACTTACTCAACTCTGACGTGATATTTAATCATCATTTATAAAGTATACGTCAAGCTTAAGAAGCGAGTAACTCGACCCTAAAACGAGGAAACGATTGTTAAACATATTTATTTGTGAGTCAACCTATACTGTTGAGTGGTTAAAAATAGAAAATACCGCACTGTAATATTTCAAACTAATTAAAGGCAGGTGGCGTAAAACAGAAAATGAGTAGCACATAATAAAAGCAAAATAACTGAAAGACGCTTGCCTAGGAGGCGGAAATATGTTTAATATAAACCTCAAAATAAAGTATAGATAGACTTTCAAAAATACCCTAAATATAGTCTTTTTAATCTCATTAAAGGTCGAAGCTTCAAAATAACGAAATACAGTAAAGATAACGGCTCAGAAACAGGATATACTATTTTGTGTCTTAATGGACTCGAAAACTTAAAATACACTTAAAGTCTTTGCTGGAATCCAGCTAAAGACAAAAGCTTTAAAATCAGATAAACACGTATATATAATCTTGGTATTTCGAAGAACACAAGACTTAAATACATCTATACACTGGAATCTGACAAGAGAAAATGGTACATTCATTCTTTGGATCTAGATGGGTACGAGGCCAAACAATTCTGTAAATTTTCAAAGTACTGTTTATTTTAGTGTTGAAAAAACTGCTTTATGGTAAAATGCCCAGAGCTCCCTTACACAACCATTGTAAAACAGACAGCTGTCAGTTCAAGATCTAAACTAACATGGGCAAACTTCACTTGCTACTGGCTTAAAAGAAATATTATGAGTCAATAATAACAAGGAGATCCAAATTCTGTGTAGTCCCATCAACAGATCAGTCATATTGTATTACGTTTTGATTGTTTGTTTGAGATTAAGCACAAACGTACACAATGGGCTATCTGTGCTGTGCCCACCACTGGTATCTAGACCTGGTTTTTAGCGGTGCAAGTCTAACAGACTAACAGTTGTAAGATAGGCTTTTCTCAAAGGCAGATTATTACGTTTTTTTTAGGAGTTTTAGTTAAACGTGATCGGTGAACAATTCAGTTTTTAAGTATATTTAATTGGTCTTCCAATTTTGTATATTGAATACGAACGTGTTTGCTCTGCGCTCTTATACATAGTTATTACTAGATTGTCACTCATATTCGGTTAAACATGTTTCCATGAACTAAAACGTTCTAGTAAAATAAAGTTATTTTAATTATAACAAATAAACACGGATTTTAGGGTTAACCTTATGAATTGATCGTAATTACTTGTATATATATCTGATGGTATTTTGTTAACTGGAATATAACTTACTTTAATTTATAATTCAAAGAATCAACGAGTGAAATCAAAGTTGAATATGTTATAGTATGTCAACCACACTTTAAAATCAATCTAATTATATAGATTGAAATAAATATTTAAAAAATCAGTGATAATTAAAATTCTTCAGTTACTGCTTAATTAATCACATAATTTGGATTTTAACTAACCTTATTGACTAAATGGTGTGTAACTTTTAAAATTTAGGGTTAATTATCCTTACAGCTCGGATGGTAACATTTTACTTAACCTTGTAAATTAAAAGTAATCTTTTTTTTTATAATGAACCTTAAACTTATACGTTACATAGGAATGTTAATAATATACAAAGTGCATCCTAAATGATTAATTTATATGCATCCCAAACAGTGCTTAAAAGACAAATCATTGAAACGGCTAAGATATGATTTAAAAACTGCAAGAAAAAGGCAACGTTTCGCTCGATTTACCATACCGTTATTAGGTGCATGCTAAATGGGAAGCACCTATCGCAATAGTTAAATACTTCGAGATAAATACTTACGTCTATACCACAAATCTGATTCTAATCTAGATTCGTTTATCAACAAAATCGTGTGCGAAAATGATCGTCTTCGACTTCAATGTAAAAAATCTCGACGAATCGTGGTTTACTCGGCGTCATTCGGAGGAACTCATCACGATATCCATGAATGTCCACAGAAATCCGGAGTTGTTGCACGAGGTAAATTTACCTTTATTTACAAATTTCAAGTAAATCCAGGAAATACATTAAGCAAAGATCTTTGGAAAAGGGAAATAGACTTAATATTAATCTATTACCTGTATCTCGTTATATTTTACAAGTATTCATTTAATTCGTTTTCTTGTTGAAATTTGATGTGAAGAAAAAAAAAACTGACAAACGATCGTGTTATCCTCCATTAGACTGTCAGGTTAGTTACGCTACTGAAACGGTGATGCAAAATTGTCTGGGGAAGCGCAGATGCACAGTCCATGCTTCTGTTGAAACATTTGGTAACCCTAGTTGTCCACCAGATACCCGGCATTACCTCAAGGTTGTTTATACCTGTGGTAAGTTACCCTTGATTATTTCTTTAATTCTTCCTGTCCTGTGGACATAATCATCTATGGATCTATCTGTGTGGTTTTATGTCATTTTTACTTCACCATATAATAGCTATATATTATATACACTTCACCCTTATAAGAGGCCTATTGGTATAATAAATAAACTTAGTATTCCGAAAATTGTTTAATTTCGAAGTCTAAGTTCAAGGGAGGTCCAGTTCAACTACACTTTGATAAACATGTGTTACTGGGTTATATTAGTTACGGAGAATTCCATTCCTCATCAGTAACCCTGAACACAAGTTAACCAGAGAGAGATAAACTGGACCTATATTATCGTGAAAGTATCAAACATATTGTTGGTGTGAACGTGCTTTGTATTCACTATGAGGAAAACCTGTACACTGGATAGTTAAAGTAAAGAAAAAGTGTCATTGGCTACTGGACCTCCCTTGAAGTTAGACTTCGGAAGTTTATTTATTATATCTGCTATTATATCTGTTATATAATGTGAAGAACTGAATAGTGGCCAATGAGACTTTTTCTTTACTTCACCTCTCCAGTGTATAGGTTTTTCTCACAGTGACTATAAAGCACGTTCACACCAACAATATGTTTGAGGCTTAATGGTATTTCTTTGGTTTTCTGACCCAAGCTGTGCTGATGAGCCTTGAATAAGCGAAACTGCAGTCCACGGCAGAGGGTACAGCCAATCAGAGAACGCATTAGGCGTCTACGTCATAGATTCTCTTTCAATTTCATCTCTGGTGAAAAAGAAAAGCAATATTTAACATATACATATATATAGATATATTTATGTGTTCATTACCTACGTTTTTTCTATCTATCTGTCGTTCTGCATACTTAGGTATTTATTCATCTGTCTATCTAGGAATATTGCACCTGTATATATTTCTAGGTTCTTATTTATTCACCAGTCCATTTAACCTATTAATCTATCTATTTGTGTGCATCATATATATGAATATATTTATTTAACTTTTTATTTCTCTGTCTATCTAGTGAATTTCCGTATTTGTTTATCTCGTGACTTGCTATATATATATATACAGCCGTCTGTTTATCAACCTAGTCTCTCTACTTACCCTTGTTTATACAAACTTGTTTTTTTTAATCAAGCATCTAACTTTAAAGTTATCAATCTGTTGATAAAGAATTAAAGTAAATACTGAATAAAAGAAAACTTGTGTATTTAATACGCTTCCAGGAAGATTATTTTGTTAATATAATATCAACTTCAATATCATATTGAAGAATTACCCAATACATTGTACATGATGGTTTTATCTTTCCTTTGTTTCTTTAACGATCCGTTACATGAAAAACGTTAATTTTATTTAATATTAATAACTTATTCGTTTAGAAATTACACAAAATTAAGATACAATATTTTCAAATATATAGTAACATTTGAAAAAGTTTGCTTCCTTTTGTTTGTTGTGTCGCATTTTTAGTATCAAAAGAAATCCTTCGAGCATTAGACATTAGTGCTAACGGTGACAATGGAATTGACGAAACAGACGATTTCGTTGAAGAACCAGAGTATAAAGCGCCACCTGAGGGTCAGGACCGATCTCGGTGGAAAGAAGACACGCCATTAACCAAACAAGAATCAGGTGCGTTAATACGATTTTTTTCGACTCGGTATCGAACCTGAAATCTCACACGCCAGATGAGTGCTGTACTGACTAAACTTGCTAGTAAGGCACTTTTTTTAACAACTCAAACTGCCAAGGTGTGCAAATGCTAGCTAAATTAATCTGATATTCTTTTTTTTTACCAAATATACGTTATGTACATTCAGAGTAAAAAAAAACATAAAAAACTGACGTTTTTTGGCACTGTAAATATTAGCCATAATGATGGTAACTGTTTTGCCGAAACTAGTCAGCTATAACTAATAAAAAAGATTTTACCCTACGTTGTTGACAAAAAACGTCGTTTTTTTTTACTCTTAATACAGTAGCACAATGTGCCTGAAAAGAAATTATTATACTTGACATATATCATTGGATATTATCACTTGGGAACTTGGAATTGTTTATCCTTTTAGCGGATAAGCTCCCACTTCCTGTATAGATATGGTTTTCTCTGTTGACACCGACCTAGAGATACGTCTGTGAGTGATATCCATTTATATAATTTGGGTGGAAGTAGTTAACCGGAATAGATTGTGAATGGAAGCTGTTGTCTAGGGTCTTTAATTTACAGAAGATTGAGGTATTCAGAGGCAGTTTCCAGGAAGAGCTTATTAATTCCCCAACCCACCGTCCTAGTGGCTCAGCGGTAAGCCAAAATTTTAGTTTCGATCTTTTCAATGGCCATAACGCAGACAGACTATTGTGCAGCTTTACACTTAAAAACAAAGAGATTACCTCTCAACGGCCGTTGCTAGGAAACAGTTACGTGGAAGTGACCGTCAAAAATCTAATCGATAGCTACCAAAAGAGGCTTGTAAATTAAAATTACGTGTCTGGACCTAGATACCAGAAAATGGTTACAAATAGAAAGATGTAGCTAATTATTAAGATAAGCTTCTCTGGGGGGGGGGGGGCATTTTAGGTTGTCGGAACACAACTCTTAGGGGGGATATGTTCAACAGAAGCCTCCTATATATCAGTGTTGACCATCAGCGGATTTTTAATGTATTGTGTGCTCTTTGTAAGTATTTACCAGAAGTGCCTTCATCATCTATGTGTCGTACAAAATAAATTATTAGAAGTGGATTTCCATCAAAAAGTTAATTCTTGGTTGTACTAACTAGAGGGTGATTTTCCTCATATAGATTCTATATAAAAATATTATCAAAGATATATTTTCATTTTCTGATTGTACTAACTAGAGGGTGATTTTCCTCATATAGATTCTATATAAAAATATTATCAAAGATATATTTTCATTTTCTGATTGTACTAACTAGAGGGTGATTTTCCTCATATAGATTCTATATAAAAATATTATCAAAGATATATTTTCATTTTCTGATTGTACTAACTAGAGGGTGACTTTCCTCATATAGATTCTATATAAAAATATTATCAAAGATATATTTTCATTTTCTGATTTTACTAACTAGAGGGTGATTTTCCTCATATAGATTCTATCTAAAAGGAGTTACCAGAAGTGGATTATACCAAATAGTTACGCTCTAGAAGTATTATCAAAGATATATTTTTCTTAAAGAAATGTTTTTCAGAATTAGTGATCCTGAGAAGATTTTCGTCAGCTAGTTGATGATCATAAGTTATTAAAATAAATGAAATTCCATCAGATAGTTACTGAAAAAAAGTAGTTATCAGGATTAGATTTTCATGATATAATAGTTGTAGAGAAATAGTTACCAAAATCAATTTTCATCTAGAAAAATTACCAGAAATAGATCTTAATTAACTAGTAACTATGTAAAAGTTGTTTCCACAAATGATTTTTATCAGCTAGTAGCTGTATATAGAAGTAGTTACCAAAAGTGGATTCTATCAGATAGTTACTGTCTAGAAATAGTTGCCAAAAGTTTGTTTTTTTTCATCAGATACGGTTGTAATGATCATGATTTTTTAAAGCTGTTACCAGTAGGGATTTGTATCAACTAGCCTTTGTCATGGAAAGATTCTCGGTAAGCGATTGTCTTACTTTTCTGGGATTCGTACAACTTCCAGGATTGAATGCTGTGTTAAAAAACTGACAGGAATATATCTATCTATAATTATACTAACATATCATATCTGTCGCTAGATGATTCCAGGAAACCAGACGTTCGTCAACCGGAAGTCCAGAGTGACGAAACTATAGACTGGGAGGACGCCAGTAACTGCACAGTTATTGAAGGGGACCAGAAGGTTGTTGGCTTTCTTACGGAATGGATTGCAGCTTACAGATATCTTAAAGGTGAATTCCTAACGTAATATATTTGTGTTCAAATCGCCTGATCGTCTATCTAAAGAAATATTGCCCAAAGAATGTTCTTTTCAGCTTTATGTGTTTCAGTTGTATTTCAATAAGAACGTTATTGCTAGCACTCTCTATGTTTTGCTGAGAAAATCAATGATTAACGACAATAACAATGACAAAATGTTTTATTCACTGACATAATGAATGCGGGAGACCATTTTCATCAACCGACTGTACTATCCAAATATCATAACTTGTTTGATAAACAAGTGCATCTAACTAAAATGCAGACTGACTTTGTAACTATGTTTCAGTAATTTTTTGTTTACATTTGCCACGAATACTTAAGCCAGTAAGAATATTAGTAAAAGCAATATAACAATTCCTGCGTTATCTTTTCTAAACTGTTATTACTTTGGGACTTATTTTCTTAACGTAACCAACTACATAAAAGTAGTTCCTTTACAATGAAGTAAAACGTTTTGTACATTTATGTCTATGTATTATTTACTTAATCATTTACTATTTATAACGTCAATTCAGGTAAGTATATTTTGATCTATTTCACTATTAGCTAACACTGTGAAGGCGTCTGTAATTTTCTAAATTGAAAGGAATCGTATTTTAGTTTAGTACTTCCTTCTCTCATCATCTCATTATGAATAAGTTGGGCCTAATGGAAGGCTCGGTAAATATGGAACTCGATTTATTGTAGTTTACACTTGAACATAGTGTTAGTGACTCCCCACAATTAAATCCATTTTGAATCCCACAGCATAATGAAGATATCCATGGTTGAAAGTTAAGTGAATAGTTTTCAAGAATATAAAATTAAACTTCGGAATACCTTAGTGAAGAAGTTCGTACCTATATCAATGAAACATATTTTGTGTCTTATATCAATGAAACACATTTTGTGTCTTATATCAATGAAACACATTTTGTGTGTGTTTGTGTGTCTTATATCAATGAAACACAGTTTGTGTGTGTTCGCGTGTCTTATATCAATGAAACACATTTTGTGTCTAATATCAATGAAACACATTTTGTGTGTGTTTGTGTGTCTTATATCAATGAAACACAGTTTGTGTGTGTTCGCGTGTCTTATATCAATGAAACACAGTTTGAGTGTGTTCGTGTGTCATATCAATGAAACACAGTTTGGGTGTGTGTGGATATCTTATATCAATCAAACACAATTTGTGTGTCTTATATCAATGAAACCCAGTTTGTGTCTGTTTGTTTGGGCTATCTGCTGAGTCCGCCGCGAAAAAGCGAACCCCGGATTGTAGTATTGTAAGTCCGTAAGCTTACCGCTGTCCCACCGGATGACTTCTCCTGTGTTATTGTTTGTTTGCTCATTTCATGCAAACTGCATATTACGATGATAAGATTTCTGTACATACTGATCCAGCCAATACAAAAATATACAGAAAACATTCCGTCCCACGATTTATTTTTCATATAGCTAATTTATCCAGCTATTTATATCTAAAATCTGTTTCAAATTTTGAATTCGGTACTTTTTTGCTAATCTGACATTCACAAACTTGGTGCATAGTGATGTAACTCACCTTGTTGTTTACTTCACAAACCTTTTTATCATGTTATTCATTGGCTACTAATCTCCCAGGTGTTCTGTTTTTAATTTGTATATACCAATCTTAAAATAGAATTGATAACTGTCACTTTACAAATTATTTCAAGTTAAACCATCTATGATTTTGATATTGACATATTATTCTTCATAATTAGGAAAACGTATCAAATGCATGTATTCATTTGGGAAAAGATCAAGGAGAGAGATTTTCTCTCGCTAATCGTACTAATTTGGGAAAAGATCAAGGAGAGAGAGAGAGATTTTCTCTCGCTAATCGTACTAATTTGGGAAAAAATCAAGGAGAGAGATTTTCTCTCGCTAATCGTACTAATTTGGGAAAAGGGAGGGGAATGGATATTCTATCGTTAAGAGTAAATGGAAACCCTAAAATTATCTTCTGACGTTTAACCAAAATATTTGATAATGCAAATAATCATTGAATTGTTTACCTAGATACCTAACTGACCAAAAACTACTCGTTTTCAAAAGCTGAAACCGAAAACTACTAAACTTTAATAATATATGTTTGCCTAGATACCTAACTGATCAAAAATTACTCGTTTTCAAAAGCTGAAACCGAAAACTACTAAACTTTAATAATATATATTTACCTAGATACCTAACTGATCAAAACTACTCGTTTTCAAAAGCTGAAACCGAGAATTACTAAACTTTAATAATACATGAAATATTCAATATATTGTATATTATTAAGTTTAATCCATTTCTCTCTGACTCTATTAAAATATAAAGAGACATTCAAACGTAAGGACATTATGTGCTGAGTTTCACATTCATCCAAATGTTACTTGTTATTCTGTTGTATGTGATAAGACGTAATGATCTTACTTATGATTTGTAATGTTACACGTCTTATCTCATTTGATGCGCATTAGAGAAATCTGCTCTTATAAACATTTATTATATGATATCTGAAGTGTGCCGAGTCAGATATATCCCAAGGTACCCCTTACTCATAATACTGAAAGTTAGCCAACCCACTTTTCAATATCAAACCATTAGGCCCAGAAAGTGTGATTAGTTGATATGAATATTAGGACAAGATTGTAAGATATTTTTTAAAACGTGCCTGATCAGTAATTGTCTTAATATATATGCAAGAGTTTTATGTTTCTTAAAGTCCTGACTCCATGAGACCAATCTTTCACTTGCACCACATGTTAAAGGCGTGTCTGATGCATTTATACGTGTCATTAATACGTGAGATATGTACTTCAGTATGTCCTGAAAACTGAAACGATGATAAGAATATTTCGATCGATAACCCTCCGAGTCTACTTAAAACGTGTTTATAGCGTTTTTAATGTGGTTGGAAAAGGAATCAGGCTGCATAACACTCTTGATACTTGTGATGACTTTTATCAACTATTCGTTTCAGATGAGGAAGTTTTAATAGCATGTGGAATATCTACTTACATTCTTAGATCGCAAAAACATCTACTTACATTCTTAGATCGCAAAAACATCTACTTACATTCTTAGATCGCAAAACATCTACTTACATTCTTAGATCGCAAAAACATCTATTTACATTCTTAGATCGCAAAAACATCTACTTACATTCTTAGATCGCAAAAACATCTACTTACATTCTTAGATCGCAAAAATATCTACTTACATTCTTAGATCGCAAAAACATCTACTTACATTCTTAGATCGCAAAAATATCTACTTACATTCTTAGATCGCAAAGACATCTACTTACATTCTTAGATCGCAAAAACATCTACTTACATTCTTAGATCGCAAAAATACGTATCTATTAGAATAACGTATGAAATTGTAACAGCACCGGGAAACTAACGTGCAATTCACGCTATCATTTGAACAGTTCGGGGGGAGTGGGGGGGAGGTTCTTGTAATAAATTGTAATATAAACACACCTGTCAATTTTATTTAAATTTACATTCACTTCATCAGTAGATACGCAGGAAAAAGAAGAAATTTTGGTAGTGATCCGGTAAGTTTACGGATTTACAACGTTAAAACCAAGGGTTCTATTCCCGCCGTGGACAGAATCCATGTAGCTTGACGCTAAGAAAAAAAAACACAACAACCCGGTAAGTTTACGGATTTACAACGTTAAAACTAGGAGTTCTATTCCCGCCGTGGACAGAATCCATGTAGCTTGACGCTAAGAAAAAAAACCACAACAACCCGGTAAGTTTACGGATTTACAACGTTAAAACCAGGGGTTCTATTCCCACCGTGGACAGAATCCATGTAGCTTGACGCTAAGAAAAAAAACCACAACAACCTGTTGATAAGTGAGGAAACGTTTCATGATGCGAAACGGAAGTTTACGATGTCATGATGATAAAACTTGATAATGTAGTTCTTCGTGTTTAAATGGAATTATTTTACAAGTTTTTCAAAAAAATCTCCTTAATCTAAATATATAATATTAACATATCTGCTGAGTCTAGTTATGTTTTAGCATTTCTAGTGTGGTGGAAAAGAAATTAGACCATCCAGGATTGATTTTTATTTGTATTTATTTTTTTCTTGAACACAAACGCCACATTAAGAATAAAAAATTGAGTAATATTTGTTTCGAAATTGTAAACTTAAATAGTTTGAATTTCACCAACAGCGCTTCATCCCTTTGCGTTCTGTCGTCAATACTCTGGAATATTGTTTATCACGAGTTTATGATTCTTAGATTGATCTAAGTATTTTAGAATATGATTCTTATGTTAGCCTAAATATTTTAAAGTATTGTTTTATCATGATGCCTATGATTCTTAGATTAATCTCAGTATTTTAAAATATTATTCTTATGTTAGCCTAAATATTTTAAAGTATTGTTTTATCATGATGCCTATGATTCTTAGATTAATCTCAGTATTTTAGAATATGATTCTTATGTTAGCCTAAATATTTTGAAATATTGTTTTATCATGACGACTATGATTCTTATGCTAGCCTAAATATTTTAAAGTATTGTTTTATCATGATGCCTTTGATTCTTAACTGTTAGTAAAGTGCACTGCGGATTTAGTGTTTAAAGATTATAATTAAGGTCTAATTGAATACGTTTAGCGATCTACAACAAGTGAATTATTATTATAAATTATTATAGTAACTGGTGTTTTGTTTGTAAAATAATATATTATAAACACTGAATTTAAATTATGATTCTTATGCTAGCCTAAGTATTTTGAAATATTAGTAGGACTGACATCCTAGTTCGGACACCGGGTGAGAATGTTTTGGTGTGATGGGAATTCGAACCCGCGACCCTCAGATTGCGAGTCGAGCGCCCTAACCACCTGCCGGGCCTTTGAAATATTGTTTTATCATGACGGCTATGATTCTTATGCTAGCCTAAATAATTCAGGGTATTATTTCATCATGATGCCCGTGATTCTTAGGTTAACCTAAGTACTGTTGAATATTGTTTAATCATGATATATATGGTTCTCAGATTAGCCTAAGAATTGTAGAACATTATTTTGTCGTGATGTCTGTGGTTCTTAGGTTAGCCTAGATTGATCAAGTTTCATACCAGAACTACTGAATGAATCAGCTTAAAATGATTAAATTGGTTTATGCACATAAGTCCTAAAGCTTTAGAAGCCAATGTAACGAACACTTAAACTAGAATTATACGTTGTTGCTTTCGTTAATTCCCTTATATAACTTTTTCTTCGGCTATATTTAGCTGTTCACAGTAAAATAGTAATAGAAATTTTTTTCGTCACATTTTTCTATCTTATACCAAAGTACATATGTGCATAAGAAAATAAGTCTAGAAACTGTCCACAAATAGTGGTTACATATATTATGTTTTTTAGTGTTTTCTACCGCGCTTCTGATGCCATTTCTGTGTTGATATGATACATGTAAAAAAAATTGTATTTTTCGTAATATCTATTACTAAAGGCTACTAGTGCTAAAATATTTTTTTGAATTAACTTTCATATTTTATTTTTGAGTTATAATTTATACATGATATTTTTCAACAATAAAAAAATGCCCCATCCACGGTGGCTCGCTCAATGGTAAATCTGAGAGCTTATAACACTAAATATCTGTTTCAATACCCGCGGAAGACAGAGCACGAATAACTTATCGTGTAACTTTGTGCCTAACAACAAACAAACAAAAAATATTTAACGAGACAATTTTCTCACACTGCTGTTGAACGATATAGAATTGAAACAACTATTAGAAGCTTAAAGCTAAAACATAAGTTTACTATTTATTTAAATAATTTGCCCTAATTGAGATATATATGTTAATTATATGTAAGCGAGACTTCAATATATTTTAACTTACTCAAATTGTGTTTTTAATGTATATATATATATATATGGGTATGAGAGACATCTTTAAGCAACGTGCCATTTCTGAAGTATCTATTAGAAAAAGTTTTGGTAAAAAATATTTATCACACTAACCACTAATGCACTTACACTTGGATATATATTGAATTTAGTTGTTAATCGCAAAAACTATGTTTCCTGCCTATGAGTAGAGACAGCGATGGTTGGTTATTTCTACTTAATAATTTCTAAGTTGTAATCATGTGCAGTTCAACCAGGTGTTACACATTTTTCGTTTAAACGGCTGTTGTTTTTATTACAGACTCCTTAAAACTATTTGTATTGTGTGTCCAATAAGAACTGGTTCTAACACAAACTACTATTGAAAGGCATACCAATCAAATCTGGCGACTAGTTTCAGTTAATTAGTCTGACTGTTTTCGTTGCAGCATAACCCTCATTACAAGGATATATTATTTTTTGTACCTGATTTTGTCATCAGATTTGGATCACGTTTTATAAGTCACGTGGAAAGAATTTCCCGGTTTAAAAAGGAATAATAAAACAAATAAACCTTAGCGTCGTAATATATAGATACATATATCCAAATGCAGCATCTTAAAGCTCTTCTTTGATATATTATTTACTGTTAATACATAAAAATGGGTGATCATTAGAATATCTTCCAACAACGACTGAAAGAAGAAAGACTTTATCAAAAAACCGAAAACCAGAAACAAGTAATTTATGATGACGAGGAACCCACTTAAAGTATATATATATATATATAAAGTAGAGACGGCTGATATGGGTATTAAAAGCTTTTACTTAAAACATAAAACAAGTAATAACTTTCGACCTCCTTGGGTCATCGTTAGGTTAAGAATAATGTATCCCACTCGGCCTGAAGAGCTCTGGATTGAGCGAAACGCGTCGTCGACAATGGATTTGACGAATATAGTGCGGTTGAGATAATATTATTATACACTCTTCTAGTTCTTGAAAATCCATAAGGTACTAGATTAGGAATGTAGTATTAAAAACATAATAAGCCTAACATAATGTCTCTACTACATAGAGAAACGAGTAAAACAGAAAACAGTAATACTTTGTACAAATATTTTTCTATATGCCTGTGTGAGTTTGTTTTGTATATTATTATCATATCCGTAATTCTGTGTTTTTGTATACTGTAGAAAACAAGGAGAAATGTGTTCTCTACTTGACACTAAGCTTGGGAGGTGGCTTGGTTGCCTTCTTCGGGGTTTTGTCTGTCCGTCTTTACCTTCAGAAGAAAGCCGAAAGGAAGAAGGCTAGCCTCAACATCAGCGAACCTCTTCCAACATCGTTCGACGAGGAAGTTTCCGACTTGGAACATTTCGATACAACTGACAGGCCGGATCATAGCGGCGTAGAAATAGTCCGGTTCTGCAATCGATCGGCAATGAGAAGACAAGACAGCGATACTCATCCCCGGGCCCCCATGTCCCGAAACATGAATAATTATTATTATAGTTAGTTCTAAACGGACAGTAAAGGCTACGCTCAATGCCGACTACTGTGTACAAATATATATATATATACATATATATATTGTGAATATATATAATTATATATGTGTATATATATACGAGAACTTATGTTTCAGGTATTTTTAATTGAAGCTCTAAACTGTTGATTCTCATTCGTAGGTTCGGAAGATACGAACCTAGGAAAGACTAACAGCAGAGTTGAATGCCTGAAAACATTTGATGATAAGGCCTCTAACAAAACCGTGAGCTGTTGTCTACATTGTATGGTTGAAATTAAAAGTACAACAATGACGATGTAATGTAAAATATTTTGCGTTAAAATGAATTTCTGAAATGCAATCAACAAGTCACAAATTGTTTCACGAAAACGAAATCAAAATTAACTAGGGCAAAGAGTTAATAATAACCACAAAATAGTAAGAGGCGATAAACAAACAGTTTGGTAGTAATAAGTTTCGTTTTAAAGGGTATTGTGGTCTACGTAGACGTGCTAGAAGTTTGGTACACAATTTGGAGCTAACTATAACTAGATGTCGCTACTGTGTTCTCGGCGTACTCGCTAAGGAGCGTATATAGTCTTGTTAGGCGCTCTAAAGGACTGTCAGCGACACCTATATTAACGTCTTCTTATAACTTTTCCATATTTTCGGTACACTAAAGGTGTTCCCTTGTTGTGGTTATGAATGTACTTACATATCTGTATATAAAACCTTTTTATGTCTGTTCAACCTTTCAAGCCGTTATTTTCCAATGACGTTGATATGGTGATCTTCAGTACAGCGTACGAACTATTGGGGTGAAGTTCATAAGGTGTTGTTTAGAGACACGCTCTTTTCCCTTGTTTTGTGTGATTTCAGTGATGTCAAAACACTTATATCACACTTTACTTGTGTGATTAGTTTAAAACTAATGTTCAATGATAGTTTTACAAGATTTTCTGATATAAACTTTCTTGGTACATATCAATCGAAATGCCAACATAAGACACTTCTTGTCTCTTACCTTATTACTCTGTCTATAGTGTTTTTCTTGTTAACACTAGTTCCTGCTTTCAAAAACACACTCAACCCACGTGAAGGCAGTCTGGAATGTGTTATACCGGAAACGACGTGAAGATTTTGTCGCAAAATTTACCATAAATATTGGTGTTTGGAACCACCTGCAGATTTTCACCACAAAATTTGCAAAATTAAATCAAATCTGCTAATGACTCTTCACACTGTTATGTGATCTGTTAACGATAGTTCACTTTTCACTCTTATATATGATATCTGTGCTAAATTAAAACTTGTGACTACTTGAAAAATGTAACTTTTCAAATACGGGGTTAGAAATGTGTAACCAAATTCTGTAATATAAAGATTGTTACGGGGACCCAACGTATGATTTACAGAAATGTATGATAGCGTAAGCTATTATAACATTACTTTATTTGATAATTTGCGGACATCAGGTGTATTATACATCCCGAAGCAGAGTGTATTTTATATTTAAAATTAAAAACATTGATAGTAGCATGAAAACCGCTGAAAAATATGTACACGTGTTATAAAAAATAATGTAATCAAGCTCAGTTTCCTCATAAGCGTAATTTTTTATACATCTTTGAAAAGAACATCTCAGTTTCCTCATAAGCGTAATTTTTTATACATCTTTGAAAATAACATCTCAGTTTCCTCATAAGCGTAATTTTTTATATATATCTTTGAAAAGAACATCTTCTAGCGGTAAATTTTTAGTAAACATTAACCCTGAGCCTCAGAACAAAAACTATTATTCTGATGTTAGTTGTTCATTAAACTATCCCGGCCCTATGATGGCATGCAGGCCCATCTAATATATTTTAATTTTCAATCCTCAAAGCCTTGTAAAACGTTCTTTGCATATTGGTTGAACAACATTAAAGATTTGACTAATTCAGCTAAACCTTTATCCTAATTAAACACAGTAACGCCAGCAGTCGGACATTTGAAAAAGTCACTTAAATCTCTTTGAAAGGTGTTTGTTTGTAAGTAAGCATAAAGCTACAAAATGGGCTATCTGAGCTCTGCCCACCACGGGTATCGAAACTCAGTTCCTAGCGTTGTAAGTCCGAAGACATAACGCTGTGCCACTGGGTTACATTACAGATGTTAGGTTTTATTACGTTTATTAGAAAGTAAAGTTTCACCCATGTGTCTGCTAACAAACTTTTATTTCTGCCCCACCCCCTCACATACACAAACAAAGCAACCTCATACTTCTCCTGGGAATGTTTGATTTTTATTGGGTCCTCGGTTGGTCAGCGATAAGTTTCCAGACATAGAATGCTAAAAATTGGACGAGAGAATGTTTGTTTGTTTTTTTAATTTCGCGCAAAGCTACACGAGGGCTATCTGCGCTAGCCGTCCCTAATTTAGCAGTGTAAGACTAGAGGGAAGGCAGCTAGTCATCACCGCCCACCGCCAACTCTTGGGCTACTCTTTTACCATCGAATAGTGGGATTGACCATCACATTATAGCGCCCCCACGGCTGAAAGGGTGAGTATGTTTGGTGTGACGGGGATTCGAACCCGCGACCCTCAGATTGCGAGTCGAGCGCCCTAACCACCTGGCCATGCCGGGCCTGGGCGAGAGAAAGTAGCGAGAAAGTGTTTTTGCTGAGAAATATTCAAAGTGGGGTGGCACGTGCTGCTTCTACTCCCCTAGCTGAGCGCCTATGTCAAAAGAAATAACCCAATATTTATTTTGTTATAACAATAAAAACATTTATTAAATATAGCTGGAGAAATCGACACTTGTATATCCGATTTCAGCAAAATACGTAATCAGATATTTCTACGCATATAGCCAGAAGAACAACCAAATGTTTATTCAGTTTCAGTTACAAAAATCACCAAATATTAATTCTACCGCAACAAGTGGTATTTTCAGTTATATTAAACCAATTACGCATCCGCTCTTAATCCGCTATTATTATAATTCATAACCAATATTATATGTTAATAATTACTTGTTGAAAAATTATATAGTTAAATAAAAGTTTTCTTTTTCTTACTATATAAGAATATGGCAGTTTAATTGATAAAGACATGTTAAATAAAATAAAGTGGATTTTAAAATTGCTTTATCAATTTCTATTCAATTAAATCGCCATATTAAGTTCCCTTACTGTAAGAATATAGTAATTTTCAATTTTATATATCTATGGTTCCTTAATTTTTGAGCTTATCTCACAATGTTCGACAAGATGTCTTGAAACTTTGCATGTAGGCTCTTGAACCCATAAAACATGAATGAAGAAAACATTTTAAAAAGAGTCGTGAGAAGGACCCCAAACTGGTGAGGGATGGGTTTGAGGGCTCTCAGATTTGAATGAATCAGTTTACTGTGAAATCGCTATTATCATGTAAGGTATCATTCAAAGCAGTAATATATATTCAGATTATTGGAATTTCAATTATTTGCCTTCAAGTATGGGTCAAAGAAGATTTGACAGCTCTTTCGACTATAATCACGGATTTTTACACAAACTGGTATGAACATGTAAAGGATTGTTCATAACATGTATCAATGTTTAGATTGTTGAGGTATTCACACCGTGGTCCCGTAAACAGGAGATCCGGGAGGTTGGTGTACACAGGATTGACTGTATTGACTTACTGGTGTACTCAGGATTGACTGTATTGACTTACTGGTGTACTCAGGATTGACTGTATTGACTTACTGGTGTACTCAGGATTGACTGTATTGACTTACTGGTGTACTCAGGATTGACTGTATTGACTTACTGGTGTACTCAGGATTGACTGTATTGACTTACTGGTGTGCTCAAGATTGACTGTATTGACTTACTGGTGTACTCAGAATTGACTGTATTGACTTACTGGTGTACACAGGATTGACTGTATTGAGTTACATTAAAATTGGAAAGAACATGTAACTGGTAGTTCAAAAACAATATGTGCAATTCTTTTGCTTAATTGTTTCCTGTGAATGTTCAATGGTAATTCAAATACTATTTGGTTGTGATCAATAAACATAAGCCAGTTAAGATAGCAATCATTTTTATATCGTATTTAATGTGAATAAAGGTTAAGTTTACATGTCATTTGTGTATTATTTGAATGTACAATAAAGATTATATTCAATTCAGAGGCGGTTTTAAAAATTGGGGCCCAAGGCATCGAATTCCTCAATAACTCATCCATAAAGAACGGTCATTTTTGCTTAACTTAAGAAGTTAAAAAATGTAATGTAAATAAGATCAGCAAGGATTCGCCTACAACTGAACACAGAAACTGCGTGTTCATAAGTTACACAAGCAATAGTAAACCAAGATAGACATCAAAGCAGCTATTGATCTTTAAAAAGGCCCTATTATAAATTGATTCATCTTGTAGCTTTGTGTAATATAATATATCCAACTAACTCCTACCGCAGTTCTAGAGCTAGCAGAAACAAACTTGACAGGCGGATTCGGGTGACCCGAGCGATGTCTTTATCTATATGATGTAGCACCCTACCAAGAGGGACTGAAACACCCCCGGAAGATAAAACAAGCATGATGGGGATCTAAGAGCAGGTTTTCAAGTTCGCTGCGCCCAAATCTGGCAACGGACTTTTTGTTCCTGAGGCACCAAATTTAGCTTTGTGTTAATTTCTGCATCTTTGTCTAACTAATTCCTCCCACAATTTTGAAGCCTAGAAGATGGACTCAAGGTAATCCGGGGGTGTCCTTATCTACCTGGTGCAGCTCTCTACCAAGGAGGTACTGGGGGAGGGGGCTAAGATGCACCAGAAAAGCCACCCAGAAATAATAGGGATCTAAGGGTGGATTTTCAAGGTCTCTCAATCAGAATCTGTTCCTGGTCTCATTCTGTTTCCAGGTGGCGCTACGTTTGAAACTGTGTTCATGCCCCCACTCACAAGCTAGCAGAACCAAACTTGGCAACGTGCTCAGGTACCACGGGTAGATGTCCTAACGGGCTTTCTTTCGGGTACATGCCCTTTGAAATAACTATAAAAGTAATTAGCGATAAAGGAGAAATTTGATCGGTACACTGGGATTTCTGTAAATCATGAAGGGGTCTTTGAACCACCCACCCACCCGCCCCAGCGGAGCGCGGGTATTTTATACAAGTATTATAAGTACCTGATATTAAAAACAGGTATGTGTATTATATTGTCTTACTTGCTGTGAAAAAAGAAACCTAAAAACTATTACTTTTAAGTTAACCAAGGGTCTATGAGGATCCAATAAAACTGGGGTCCACTGATCATACAACTGGAACGAGAATCAAACGCAGGTTGAAATTTGTTGAACTGTATAAAGTTGCATGTTCAAACTTGATAAAACGTATTAAGAACATGCTTTCACCGTTTAAATGTTTATATTAAGAATATATGTCCTCTTTACCATTTTTTTCTCTAACTGTAAAACAGTATAACATAATTCATATCACCTTCTTACTGAGAAGTTTGACCTTCATTGCAGTCCTCCGGTGGGTCAGCGGTACGTTTACAGACTTACAACGCTAAAATCCAGAGTTCGATACAGCGGATAGCTTAATGTGGCTTTGCTTTAAAAAAAAAATCAGTGCAACATAGTCTTTGTGCATAAAAGCCATCTATCTTTTAAAGCTGGCTGGCACTTGTTTGAAGTTTATTGTGAGTTGAATACATGAGCGATGTCTGACAGACTCGTTCTAAAGGTAAAATATATAATTTCAGACAAATTTGAGAATTATTGATTTGCTTGCTAAGAACAGAGCTCTTCAGGTGTTCGTGGTACTACAATCGAACGCCAGCTCCTATATTTATAAGTAAAGCAAAAATAGATTGATTTGATACAGAGATTAAAATCATTTCTGATATTACTTGAGTAGTATATGAATATGGAATATTAGCATTAAAATATATTATGGTGCATGCCTAATTAATCATACCAATCATGAACTATACGAAACTGATTTTTTTTAATCCTAGGATGCATCGCTTTGACCCAGCCACTAGTATTTATTTACCAGTTGTCTATTTCTTTAGTCAACTGGCTCTTGATTTGTGTTAAGCTTACTTTTTACATATCCTACTTATTCTCAATTCATCCCTGTAAAGTTTGGATTATTGGGTTTGTTATCTTACGATTTGTCTTTTTTTTTCCTGCGTGATTTCTCAATGTATAAAAATTTTGATCCGTTTGAAATGGCGTGTTAAAAAACAAGAGATTTAAATTTCGATTTTAAGAAAATGTGACACCGCGTTTTCTGTGCATTAAGACAAACGACGTTACTTCCAAAACGTTTTGAGATCAATCAATTAATAAATATCGTGTGTTGAGAGTCGATTTCATTTTCGCACATAGAATAAGTTTGTGATTTATTTTTTCGGGGCTGACATTGAACATATGTTCTCTATTTATATGCGGTAATTTTTTCATACGGCATTTGTTTAAAACACTATAATGTGTGTGTGTGTATGTGGTTTTCTTCGGGAATCACATGCCAACACTTTACTTTCTCATGCTCAAAAATATACTGGATCGAACTGTGAATCTGAAGGTTCGCGTCTTGTTGCTGCAAAACCGCACTTTAAGGTCATGGATGCGTTATAAGAGTGAAGGTCAACTACCCCATTTAATAAGACTAACCCAAGAGTTAGTGGTGAGTGCTTTAGACTAGCTGCCTTTTCTCAATTCTATGATTTCAAATGTAGGAAAGGCTTAGGCAGAAGACATTAGTGTAACTTTCTGCGAATGTTCGTAAGAAACAAACATCAAACATATAGTTAGCTGTTGTACTTAAAATCTAACAATATTTAGTTCTGGACTTATAATATCATTTTTATGTTGTTCGTTACGCTATTTATATCGAGCTCTATCCTAGGACAAGAATACATCTATGACGACTAGCAAAAGAGACCCGTCAAAACTCATACAGTTTTTTATTTATTTATTCCTGTAAACTCCCAGTGGAGCATAGGGCCGTAACAACACCTCACCAACGGAAAGTTGTTGTTGCAGTTACTTGTAGCAGGTTGGTTTTTACGGGGTGGAGTTGCTAGCCTCGCGCCCAACCCTCCTCCTTTCTCATCCTGGACTTGGGACCTTGGCCTGTTTGGTGTGACGGGCATTCGAACCCGCGACCCTCAGATTACGAGTCGAGTGCCCTAACCACCTGGCCATGCCGAGGCCTAACTTATATAGTTATAAGAGACTTAAATAAATTATGTGCCTCCTCCATAGGGTAACCTTAATCTTTATGATTGAGTACTAATATAATTTCAAACTGAAGTACATATTTACGGAAAAGTCCAAATTTATATTCGATGGCATGATTACTACTGAGTTTTTTTTTTATAATTAACTGTGTTGATTTTTGATCGCCAATAAAAATGTTTGTTTGTTTTGAATTTCGCG